TCGATTACTGATTCAATCTCCTTACTTGTTTTTGGTCTGTTAAGATTTTTAATTTCTTCATGATTCAGTGTTGGAAGGTTGTATTTTACTAAGAATTTATTCATTTCTTCTTAATTATATAACTTGTTTGTATGTAATAATTCATAGTAGTCTCTTATGATCCTTATTATATCTACCAGTTGTAATGTCTTCTCTTTCATCATTTTATTTTATTTGAGTCCTCTCTTTTTTCTTCAACTATCTAATGTTTTGTCAATTTTCTTTATCTTTTAAAAAACCATGTCTTAGTTTCCTTAATCTTTTATCCTTTTAGTCACTATTTCATTTATTTCTGCTCTGATTTCATCATTTCCTTTCTTCTACTATCTTTGGGTTTAGTTTTTTCTTCTTTTTCTAGTTTCTTGAGGCATAAAGTTATGTTTAAGATCTTTTTTATTATTAAAAAAATAGGCATTTATTGATACAAACATCTCTCTTAGAACTGCTTTGTCACATTCCGTCGGTTTTGGTATGTTATATTTTTAATCATTTGTCTCAAGATATTTTATATTTCTTTTTTAATTTCTTGTTAGACTCATAGGTTGCTCAACAGTGTGTTATTTAACATCCAAATATTTGTGCATTTTTTGTTATCTTCTTGTAATTTATTTCTAATTTCATATCATTGTGGTAAGAAAAGATGCTCGATATATGATTTCAATCTTCTTAAAATTTTTAAGACTCCTTTTGTCAAATAATGTATGCTCTATCTTAGAGAATGTTCCATGTGTGCTTGATTACAATGTTTATTTTGCTCTTGGAAGGAATGTTTACACATGTCTCTTAGGTCTTAAAGTGTAGTTCAAGTCCAATGTTTCCTTATTAATTTTCTGTCTGGATGATCTGTCCATTAAATGAAGGTGGTATTATTAAGTCTTCTGCTATTCTTTTATTGTTGTCTACTTGTCTATTCAGATCTCTTAAAATTTACTTTATATATTTAGATGCTCTTATGCTGTGTACATAAATATTTACAATTGTTCTATCCAAAATAATGATACTTCATAGTCTATGAGTCAGTGCAGCATCAGGTCCCTCTCTACTTCATACATTTCATGAATGCTTTTTTTTTTTTTTTTTTGCTCACTTGGCCTTTCCTCTTGCCACAACAGATTTCTTACAGTTCTTAGAACATGGCATTTTCTTCCTGTTACTCCTTTGGATGATTTCTCAATTAGGTGCCTCACTGACCACTTCTGGTCCTATTACTCTATGTAAAGTATATTCCCTCTTCACTATTTAGCAATATTTTTCACAATTTGTTATACTTGTTTATTTAGTTTCTTCCACTAGACTGGGATTCACAAAGACAGGAAACAATATTTTTTTGTATTTTGTTGTTTCTCCAACACCTAGTAATTGTCCCTGGAATAGATGGGTGCTCAATGAATATTTATTGAGGAAATAATTATTTCTACAAATAAGTTTCTTGGAATTAGAATTGTTGGCAAATGGTATGCACATTTTAGATAATTTGATATTTATTTTCCAATTATCCAGAATGAAGAACATATCAATTCACATTTTTGCCAGTAATGTAGGAGACCATCCATTGAATACTATTCTTACCTTTTGGGAGGTGGGGTATTATATTTAAGCCTTTGCCAGTTTTGCATTGGTTTAATTTTAATTTTTATTTTAGGAATGAATTTGATCTTTATATATTTATTGGTCACTTTTTTTCTCCTATAAATTTTCTATTTATGTCCTTTGTTAATTTTTCTATTGTGTTATATTTATATTGATTTCTAAAATCTTTTAGTATATTAAGTATAGCTCTTTGTGATATTTCGTACTTATTTTTCCAAGTTTTTCATTGTATTTTAATTTCGTTTATTTTTCATTCACAGAGATTTTAGATTTTTATGGCTTCAATCCTTATCCTTCCACTGAAATTGAGCTTATTAAAATTCTCAATGACCTTGTAGTTGTTATGCATGAGCATTTTTCAGACTTCATCTTATTTGATCTATTTGTTAGAAATAAAGCAATATAGCTCACAGTTTAGATATTTGGTCTATATTTATTTGAAACATCTCTATCATCTCTAAATCATAGCTTTCAAATTCATGAAAATTATAAATAAAATTAAGTGCTACTCAGCAAATTTGTTTTTGGTAAAATCAAACACAAATCATCAGGTAGAGACCTTTCAATAAATCCCTCTGGTTTTATGATTATAGAAATGAACCAAATATTGTATAAAACTAAATATCAGATGTGAGTCAGAGATAAGGAAACTAGCTCTAGAGACTGAGAAAGAGTCAGAGGTGCAGCATGTCAAGTAGAAGTCAAAAATGTGGGGCTTCAAAAAGATATTGTATTAGTTTCCTAGGATTGCCGTCAAAAAGGACTGCAAACTGGATTAAAATAACAGAAATTTATTCTCTCACAGTTCTAGAGTTTTGAAGTCCCAAATGAGGTCCCTCTAAAGCCTCTAGGAGAGAATTATTTATTGCTTCTTCCAGCTTCTGGTGTTCTTTGTTTTATGGCAGTATAACTCCAATCTCTGCCCTCGTCTTCACATGGCCAACTTTCCTCTGTGTCTTTTGTGTCCAGATTTTCCTCTTATAAGAAAATCATTTTAACCTGATTATATTCACAGAGACTCTGCTTCCAATAAGTCACATTCACAGATACTGGGGGTTAGGACTTCAACATATCTTTTTGGGATACACAATTCAATTTATAACAGATGTAAACCAAGTGAAGTGGAGAGAGCTGAATTATGGGAGATTGTAAGAACAGAGGCTAAAACACCCAAACCTAAACTGACAAGATAGATTGAATAATAATTAGTTGGTTAGGTATGTCATCAGGGCAAAAGGAGCACTTGTGGATATTAAGAAATAGGATGAGAAACTGCTACGTGATTCTACTTGGAATTTCAAGTAAATTTCAATTGATTTTTTAGGCAGGATAATTTGCTTTTATGAATAAGCTAGTGTAAAAAGCAGTGTACTATGATAGTTTGTGGTATAAAGAACAAGTTTTTCATTATTTCCTGGAAGAAAAAACCTAAATTATATTAAAGAATAGGAAACTGCTAATTTAATTTAACTGAAATTGAAAATTCAATTTATGTTCATGGAAAATTTGGTCAAATTTTATTTACGTTGAGGCAGCAATATTAATCCAATACAAAAATGTTAATTAAATGTTAATAATGCAGTGTTGTTTTTGACACATTTCTTATTATGAATTAACTCCAAAAACTTGATTATAAAATGTACATGCAGTATTTGACAGATGCAATTGAGAGGAACATCAGACCATGAAGAGGTTGATATAGAACCTAGTTTTCAAACTACAGCAGATATGACTAAAACCTATGTCAATTTGTATGTAAAATAACTTGTTTTACTTTGCTTTATTAAATCTTAGAAAGATATAACACAGTGGAGAAGAATAGACAAACATAAAAGCAGAGCAAGTTGAGATATAAGACAAAAGCATGGTTTCTAATCATATTCCTCCAATTACACTCAACAAATGTTCACTGATCCCTGCCAAAAGGCAGAGGATGTTTTAGGGATTGGGACAAAGATTGTGGAAAATGCTCATTTATTTGGCCACGATGACCTAGCTACAATTATGACTAAATGTGTGTCAAACATGGGGAATTATCCGATGACACTTTTATATTTCCTAGAGGCAATACAGCATAAAACATTTAAAAATGTTTTCCCAGGTTAGTGAAATTGTAATGATTGTTTATATATGTTTATTACTTTTCCCCTTGTGACTATATTACATTTTGAAGTCTATTTTTTTACTCCTTAACTTTCCTTAGACTAAAGAAATATGTTTTTACAATCTTTCGACCAATCTTTATCTTTCTAGTAAATTTTTGTGTCATGTATAAGTTAAAGTTTTATTTATATTTCAAATTTAATATAGTGCCATTTACAGTTAGCTTAATGGGGTTCCTATTTTTTAAAGCTTCAATCTAAAGCTTTTATTTTCATTGGGGAATTCATTCCCATGCAGTTATTCAGTTGAGCATATAGTGACCATATGAAAATGCGTTTTGTTTCACTTGCTGTATCATTAGACTCAACATTCTTTTAGTTGGCAAACTTCAAAGAGAATTTTTTTTTCTGAAATAGTTGAAAGTTAAAATATCTAGCATGGCAAAGATGTGATAGATAGATAGATAGATAGATAGATAGATAGATAGATAGATAGATAGATAGATAGTAGTTTCTTGTGGTACTGAGTTGCTAAGGACATAAGGACCTTACATGTATATGCATCTCAGAACTCAAGTTTTTCAAACATTATTAACTTTCTTTCAAATCACATAAACACATATTTATAGAACATCACCACACATACATTAGCAGTTGTTTTCTCCAGTGATTGAAAATAGGCTACAACATTCTGAGTTCTGCAATATAACTGTCTTTGATAGTAGGATGAAAAGAACAGAATTGTAAGTTCAAAAGCATCAACTTTTAGAAAGCAGTATTATTGGAGTTTACTTGATGTCCCTCTGACAGACAATTTTTTTTTCAACTTGATGTTTCAAACAGTAGATCTCTTACTTTCAGCCATAGTCCATGAGTGTTTACCAAGTTAAAAAGTGCTGGGTCTACCACCAATGGAACATTGTAGTGAGAATCGGCTGTGATGTCATAGACCCTTGAAGGAAACTTCTAGAAGTGAGATTTAGTTATAGCAAAGATTAAACAAGAAAGATGCTTACTGAGTAAGGTGGGGGTCCAATAAGAGTGTAATACAGAATGCAGTAATTTATGAATTACTTTTTTTCTGAGGGAGCGCAACAGAACAACACTTAATGAAGGAAGGTAAAGGCTTAACCATCTGGTACATTTGTGTAAATCTGATGATTAATAAATTTGAAATTCACCAGTTTTAGATATGGATGAAAGCGATGAACCTGACCAACCTATCTCAGC